ACAGATATCCTAGATACATTAATTATATTCTGAGCAGTGTTCCCTCTAAGCTGAGTTAGTTTGAGCTTTTTGTTGTTCAGTCACACAGTCGAGTCCGATTCTTTGCGACCCCCTGGACCAGATAACGCCAGGCCTTCCTGTCTTCCGCCGTCCTCTGAAGTTGGCTCAATTTCATGTTCGTTGCATCGATGACACTGTCTAACCATCTCATCCTTTGCCGTCCCCGTCTTCTTTGACCTTCAGTCTTTCCCAGCATCAGGGTCTTCTCCAGTGAGTGGTCCCTTCTCATTGGGTGGCCAAAGTATTTGAGCTTCAGTTTCATTATCTGGCCTTCCAGGGAACAGTCAGGGTTGATTTCTTTTAGGATTGACTGATTTGTTCTTCTTGCAGTCCAGGGGACTCTCAAGAGTCTTCTCCAGCACCATAGTTCAAAAGAATCTATTCTTCGGCGCTCGGCCTTCCTTATAGTCCAACTCTCGCAGCCATACATGACTACTGGGAATACCATTGCTTTGACCATGCGGACTTTTGTTGGCAGGGTGATGTCTCTACTTTTTATCATGCTGTTTAGGTTCGCCATCGCTTTCCTCCCAAGGAGCAGGCGTCTTTTAATTTCATTGCTGCTGTCACAGTCTGCGGTGATCTGGGATCCCAGGAACATGAAGTCTGTCACTACTTCCACGACTTCCCCTTCTATTTGCCAAGGAGTGTTGGGGCCGGATGCCATGATCTTAGTTTTTTTGATGTTGAGCTTCAAGCCCACTTTTGCGCTCTCCTCTTTTACCCTGAGCAAGAGGATCTTTAGGTCCTCTTCACTTTCTGCCATTAGAGTGGTATCGTCTGCATATCTGAGGTTGTTGATCTTTTCCCCAGCAATCTTAATTCCCGCTTGTGATTCATCCAGGCCAGCATTTCGCATGATGTACTCTGCATATATATTAAATAAGCAAGGCGACAATATACATCCTTGTCGTACTCCTTTTCCTATGCTAAACCAATCAGTTGTTCCATATCCGGTTCTAACTGTCGCTTCTTGGCCCTTATACAGGTTTCTCAAGAGACATGTGAGGTGGTCTGGTACTCCCATCTCTTTAAGGACCTGCCATAGTTTGTTGTGATCCACACAGTCAAAGGCTTTAGCATAGTCAATGAAGCAGAAGTAGATATTTTTCTGGTACTCTCTTGCTTTCTCCATAATCCAGCGAATGTTGGCAATTTGATCTCTAGTTCCTCTACCTCTTCGAAACCCAGCTTGTACTTCTGGTAGTTCTCTATCCACGTACTGTTGAAGCCTAGCTTGTAGGATCTTGAGCATGACCTTGCTAGCATGTGATATGAGTGCAATTGTGCGATAGTTTGAACATTCCTTGGCATTGCCCTTCTTTGGGATTGGAATGTATACTGACCTTTTCCAATCCTGTGGCCACTGTTGCGTTTTCCAAATTTGCTGGCAAATTGAGTGCAGCACTTTAACAGCATCAACTTTTAAGACTTTGAATAGCTCAGCTGGAATACCATCACCTCCACTAGCTTTGTTGTTAGTAATGCTTTCTAAGGCCCATTTAACTTCACATTCCAGGATGTCTGGCTCGAGGTCAGTGATTATACCGTCGTGGTTGTCAAGGACATCGAGGTCTTTCTTGTATAGTTCTTCTGTGTATTCTTGCCATCTTTTCCTAATCTCTTCTGCTTCTGTTAGGTCCCTACCGTTTTTGTCCTTTATCATGGCCAGCTTTGCATGGAACGCTCCCTTGATTTCTCCAGTTTTCTTGAAGAGATCTCTAGTCCTTCCCATTCTATTGTTTTCTTCTATTACTTTGCACTGTTCATTCAGGAAGGCCTCCTTATCTCTCCTTGCTGTTCTCTGGAAATCTGCGTTCAGTTGGGTAAATCTTTCCGCATTAAGTTGGGTAAATCTTTCCTTTTTGTCTTTGCCTTTCGCTTTCCTTCTTTCCTCTGCTATTTGTAGATATACGTAGATAAAGCGTGATAAAACAGTGACGTCCACATAACTTAATCGGGGCAGGAAAGGAGGGGCAGAAACACCATCCGTGGCCGGCGTCCTGCGAACCTCGCAACCAGCTCTCTGCATGCCTGGTGTGGCTCCAGTCTTGTGTTTCTTGACCAGCTGCCTCCCGATCCAGATGGTGAAATGAGAGCCAGTTTGGTGTAGTGGTTAAGTGCGCGGACTCTAATCTGGGAGAACCGGGTTTGATTCCCCACTCCTTCGCTTGCAGCTGCTGGATGACCTTGGGCAAACCATAGTTCTGTCAGAGCTGTTCTCTCAAGGACAGGTCTGGAAAGAGCTC